CGTGTGGTTGTGCATGCATGCATCATTTTTTTTTCTCTTTTCTTTAATATATATATATTTTTTTATTTTTTTTTACATTTTTTTAAATAATTTTTCAAAAAATGTTCTTTTTCCATTCATTTAACTTTTCTATTCGGCTTGCTACCTCTGAGGTACCGAGCAGAATACCGCTCGGTGGCATTCGGCTATTCGGTTACTGCCGTTCGGCGCCTATGAGAAATGGGGCGAACAGCAGCCACTGAGCTGCCGGAACTTTGACTCAGCCAGATGTTGGATCGGCTGGGTCGAACTCCTTCTGCATTTCGGCTGAACGAAGGCGGCCGATGTACGGCTGACTTTAGCCAATGTACGGCTGTAATCAGCCGTACAAGGCTGAAGTGAACACCTGAACAGCGTTCGGCTCACTTCACTTCGACTCAATTATTCACTCGGCTGCCTTGTGAATAACCCCCTAAATGTTTTATTACATTAGTGACCAGCAGGGTGTGCTACATGCCTAACATGTGTGCTGCTGTTGTCATCTTTAATTTCGGCTTTCTATGCAGTTTGCTATGGGTGTTAGTCACCAGAATTGTAGGGTTGTGGCGATATCTTTAGTCAGCAGGATGAACCGGTAACTTCCCTGTGAACTGGGTCAGAGAGCCTGAACAAAGGGGAAAAGCTGGATGTAATCAGGTGGTGGCCATCTTATGAAATGTCATGATTATTGGTCACATAGTCATAAGGGTTAAAGGATTTTTCCATCTTCCTCCAGATCTGGGTTTGGGCTGCAGCTGTCCGGTACTTAAAGGAATAGTTTACTTTTTTAGAGTTTGTATCATTGTTCCTTGAGCCTGTGACATGGAGCGGTGTCCGCTGCTTATCTGTGACCTGCTGCGGTCCTGCTGCCACTGATGAGTAAAAGGAAGATTTCTGTTTTTTTTAGTATAAGTATAGTATATTATTTTTAGTATACAGTAAGGTTGGGTATCAGTAGAGTGATAGCTAACAATCTATGTAGGGGATTCAGGGCCTCTTTCCTCTTGCTGGTGATCCCTTTCCTTCCTTCCTCTCCCTTCTTATTTCCCTCCTTTCCCTTTTTTTTCTTTCATCCCTCTTCCTTCCTCCTTCCCTTCTGTGCTTCCCTCCCTATCTTCCGTCCTTCTTTATTTCTTCCTTCCCTCTCCCTTCTTTCTTCCTTACCTCCTTCCTTGCTTTCCTCTCCCTTCTTCCTTCCCTCCTTCTTTTCCTTCTTCAATCCCTCTTCCTTCTTTCCCTCTCCCTTCTCTCCTTCCTTCCCTCCATCCTATCTTCCTTCCTACCCTCCATTCTTCCCTGTCCCTTCTTTATTCCTTCCTTCTTCTTTCCCTCCCTCCTACCTTCCTTCCCTTCTTCCTTCCCTGTCCCTTCTTTCCCTCCTTCCTAATGTCTCCCTTCTTCCTTCCCTTTTTTTCTTCCTACCTTCCTTATGTCTCACTTCTGTCCCATTTTTCTTTCTTCATTTCCTCTTTTCCTTCCCTTGTTCCTACCTTCCTTCGGTCCCTCTACCATCATTCATCTCTTTTCTTCCTTCCCTGTCCCTTCTTCCTTCCCTCTCCCTTCCTTCCTTGCTTCCTTCTTTCCCACCTTCCTTCCTCTGCACCTTCCTTTCCAAAAAGAAAGGTCAGGAAAAGCAGCCCCCCCTACTTCCATCATAGTATGTGTCACCTTTGCCTGACTCCTGCCTGTATCAGGGCAGTGAAGCTTCACTTCCTCAGCTTCACTCTGAATGATGCCTCTGCCCTTTCAGCTGGCATGAATCCCAGGAACCAGAGGATGTCGTCTCCACCTGAGATTTTTTTTTTATAACAGTTTCCCTTTCACGGTATATTCTGGTCTAAACTAATAAGGATGGAAGTCCCCGCTGTGCGTTTTATATGGAAGAGTTGCAGGACAGCTTGTCTTCCATGTAGCCACTTCTCACAGGCCGGCGGGAGCACACAGCAGCTTGTTATCCAGCATTGGAGAAGTGTCGTCTCCTAATCAAAGGGAAGCAGAGTCCCCAAACTGCGCCGCGCCTGCCATGGAAAGAGCCCCCCGAGTGTCGTCTCTTTGTATTGTTACCACTGCAGGGAACACATAATGAAGACATTGTTAGCACTCTGTACAATGCGGACACAATGCCGGGACACAGAACGCTGCCTGTTGGCTGATCATTAGTGACAAAGTCTTCCCGTATATCTCAAGCCAAAACGTTTTCATTTTGGATAAATGCCATCTGTGTCCCATTCGGGAGGTTCTCGTATCACCTACCCTGCGTTACAGTGCGGCAGGTGCGTTGCATGCACTACTTTTTTTCAGCCGCACCATGACGTGTGGTATTACAGTACCACGAGTTGCAGTGCAGTTGATCCCATTGTGACCAGATGGTGCGTTTGGGGTGCCATGCAAATGAATGGCAGCGCACTGCGCCTGCAGCTCTGTAACGCAGAGTCAGTTAGTTGCATGGTACCGTGCGTTAATCGGTTTGGCATTTCATAGCCGTCCTAGGTTCATATGTGGCCCCCTTGACTAAATTAATTGCCTACCCCTGCAGTATCGCTACCACCGCACTGCAAGGGTTAAGTACTGGTTTTGTCTAGGAGGGGGTAAATAAAGCAGTTTTACTCACCTGAAGCCTGGGTCCCAGTGCAGTCACCGCTCACCTCTCTCCCCCTCTTCTCTGGCTACGGAACATCCCCCAGTGTCCTCACATCCAATGTAAGTCAATGGACCTGTATTAGATGTGATGACACCACAGGAGATGGTCTAGCAGCCTGTATCTTCTTTATTTGAGCCCCCATAGACCAAAATGAGCACTTAACCCTTGCAGTGCTGGGGTAGCCCCACTGCAAGGGGATGTTTTCTAAAATACCCAGCGTTCCTCTTTAAATAAATGTTTTGATTGCACAAAAACAGTAAAAAATCTTATCAGGGCCTCATGCACACGGGTGCACGTAAAATACTGGGGCGTATTTCCTTCCCGAGGAACCAAGGGTTGTGCGTATAGCCACCCACATATATAATTGGCTGTACTGCAGGTATACTTCATTACAGTCTGCATTCAGGGCATATGTTTATCCACATGCATGAAAGTACCGTCATATACCCCCCTTTGGAAAGTCATTGATGTCTATGGGCATCTCTATGCAGCACCTGTGGTTTCCTTGGTGGGAAAATACACCCAAATTTCACATGTACGCCCCCCATGCGCCTGTGTGCCTGCGTCTGTATTGCTGGTTTTCTGGCTTTATAGAAATA